GTATTGTTTGTATTGAGACTGAGAGTATTGTATGTATTGAGACTGAGAGTATTGTTTGTATTGAGGCTGAGAGTATTGTTTGTATTGAGACTGAGAGTATTGTTTGTATTGAGGCTGAGAGTATTGTTTGTATTGAGACTGAGAGTATTGTTTGTATTGAGACTGAGAGTATTGTTTGTATTGAGACTGAGAGTATTGTTTGTATTGAGACTGAGAGTATTGTTTTTATTGAGACTGAGAGTATTGTTTGTATTGAGAATGAGAGTATTGTTTGTATTGAGAATGAGAGTATTGTTTGTATTGAGAATGAGAGTATTGTTTGTATTGAGACTGAGAGTATTGTTTGTATTGAGGCTGAGAGTATTGTTTGTATTGAGACTGAGAGTATTGTTTGTATTGAGACTGAGAGTATTGTTTGTATTGAGGCTGAGAGTATTGTTTGTATTGAGACTGAGAGTATTGTTTGTATTGAGACTGAGAGTATTGTTTGTATTGAGACTGAGAGTATTGTTTGTATTGAGAATGAGAGTATTGTTTGTATTGAGAATGAGAGTATTGTTTGTATTGAGACTGAGAGTATTGTTTGTATTGAGACTGAGAGTATTGTTTGTATTGAGACTGAGAGTATTGTTTGTATTGAGGCTGAGAGTATTGTTTGTATTGAGACTGAGAGTATTGTTTGTATTGAGGCTGAGAGTATTGTTTGTATTGAGACTGAGAGTATTGTTTGTATTGAGACTGAGAGTATTGTTTGTATTGAGACTGAGAGTATTGTTTGTATTGAGACTGAGAGTATTGTTTGTATTGAGAATGAGAGTATTGTTTGTATTGAGAATGAGAGTATTGTTTGTATTGAGACTGAGAGTATTGTTTGTATTGAGACTGAGAGTATTGTTTGTATTGAGACTGAGAGTATTGTGATAAGTTGATGCCCACCTTGTAACCACCTTACATATTGGCATATTACATAGCCTTGTTTAGTCTGTGACATTAATATAGAAAATGATGACTTTAATTTTCAGTAATCATTCCACGAATCGAGAAGACTATAGCATACATCACAACTGAATTAGATGAACGTGAGAGAGAAGAGTTCTACAGGTATGTTTGGATTAAGATGAAGGCAGTATATAGATCATGTAAGGCTAAATAAAAAATAGTCTTGGTTCTCAGACACTGCCTGCATCATCATAAAGTTCACCGCCTGTTTTGTTTCTTTTTCCATTTTAAAAAAACCCCAACAAAAATCCTCCAATATTCCAACTCCAACGGTAGTCAAATTATTTATACTATATTCCAGCAATTTACCCGTGAAGGAATACTTTTACGTAGGGAGCCCTTTCCCAGGTTGACTGTATTTGGCTACAAAACTGTTTATTTGGTTACATACTAGTTTGAACAACTAAGTAGAAAAACACACCGCCTGACCGCACTATATTTTCAAAAGCCATTGCCTGAGAACCATTTGTTTTCTTTTTTTAAGCCTAAAACATCTACCTTGTATTTTCACTGTTTCTGCCTTGCAAGTAACAGTACACAGGGTATTGCTTCACTGCTACTGTTGCCAGGGCTCCAGATAATTAGCTGACCCATTGAGTATATACTCAAATGTTACCATTCACCAATAAAATGATCCGTTTAATATGCAGTTGAGGTTATCTAGCAGGAACCTCTTTTGTAATCTCAAAATACTGATTTGATAGTTACTTGCAAAAAGAATATTGCATAATGTTCTCCCTTTCCCGATGTGTAAGGGTGTAAGTAGACAAACAAGGCTGCAGATCAGTTGGCACTGTATCATAAACTGGGCGGTTCACTCAGGCTTTGAATTGCCATATATTTTCTAAAATTACTGTTGTGAATAGTAATATGACCTTTTCTTGGATTATTTAAATTTTTAAACTTTTCCTACCTCACACTGTGGATTTCTCATTTGTCTTTGATCCTAAGTGGGAACGTGCCTAAACAAAGGTTTCCGGCTTCTACAAAACAATTCACCCGAACACACCTTACATCACCATGGTCAGTCACCTCCCAACAATCTGGGTCATGCACGCTTTTCATGCCGGTTGACCTACACACGCTGAACACATGATTTCCCAAACCAACTCAATCTCTTTCTTATCGCCATGTTGTGGTGACATGTTTTAAACACCAAGGGAATCTTCGTCTTATTCTTTGTCATTGTTTTCATCATAGATGTACAGCCCATGCATTGTCTCGCGTCTTTCTTGCATGATGATTGTTCTGTTGTGGACGCTGTAGCACATTTACGCGCAGTGCTCAGTGTGTTGATTTGCCGATGAATCCTCCAGTATTTACCTTCCTAAATGTCAGCGTCGAGAGCAGAACAGGCTCTCATAAACTACTGACAGATCTACAAAAACTAAGAAAACTATTGAGGATTCGCACCCATGCACGCAGGCACCCAACCACACACGCACCCACCCACCCAATCTACTGTTCCTGGGATGATCATTTTATGAATCGTCTTTGTCAACTGCTGTGCTCAACTCTTTCCCTTTTGGGTGGGTACATCCAGGCCATCTTGCATGAAGATCGGTGTGACATGTCTCTCCTAGTGACAGTGGATTTGAAGATCAAAGGAAGGATCATACATGACCGGTTTTCACACCTACTCAGTCAGACCTCCACTAGGTTCTGAGTAACAGCTCCAGACCTCCAAATGACTTTTTCAGAATGACTGGACTCTTCCGCCTCACGCCGTTCCGGTCGTTACATCACCCGTTCATGGCAGATTGAGTCTGGGCGCAAAGAATCGGGCCATCCTGGACGATTTGTTTGTTCTATGCTGCCTACAAACCAGATATGATCTGCCCTTCATAGCAACACTTCCTACAACAAACTAGCCTCTGCAATGCCTATATCAAGACAGACAGCTTCCGATTCTCACAGATGCTATAGATACATTACTGGCAGAGAACCCCATAGAGTGTCTGGGCACAGTTCTGATGACACTGGGTTTCTAGTCTCCAATCTTCCTGGTCCGAAAGAAAGACAGCCTTCAAGCTCATTTTCAACAAGTTACACCTACAGACACCTCCATACTTCCGGATCAAACCAATTGCATTACTACGTACGATTCTTCATCCCTGCAACTTCATGATCAGTCCAAATCTCCACAATACTCCACAAATTAATTGTACTTTAGCTGCACTTATGGACGGATGTTTCTGGAAATCCAATATGGTTTACGCATACCACTACCTCCGAGACATCTCTGTGACTGATGCGTCAATTTGGTCTGTGTCAATTTGGGCCATTGGTTCTCGCAGAAAGTCTCCACTACACATCTGCACATTTAGGGGTGACGTGTACCCGATCCAGTTCTCTTGTATTACATCTCTCTCCAGATACCATACATCTTGGTATTATGATTTTTGGGGGCTCTCTCAGACTGAGTATCCGATGGGAGGATGTATTCACTCGTCTGTAGAGACTTTGGTCTTTATCTGGAAGTCGTCAGGCGCGGCCAGATCCTTGTGCCCCGATCCTCTATTCCACTCACCTCTGCTTTTGGCATATGTTGTTGGGTAGTGAATCGACGATCCTTTTGTGGATGTTGTCGACGTTCCTTTTCTCTTCTTGACCTATCGATTCAATCCCCAACATGCTATTGAGATGATGATTAAAAGCTGGTAGGTCCTATTGTCCATGGGAGATAGTGATACCCCTTGTCTTGTAGAGTCGATTGGCCGGATACATTTCCGAAACCATTAAAAGTCATACATTGTATTGTCTGGCTTTACAGTTACGCTCACTTACGTATGAACATGCGACACATATGGTACCCGACTTCATGTGTTCACGTATCAGGATCACAACACTCTTTGGGAGTGTTTAATTGCTATCCACGAGCTTTGACTCATGACACTAGGCAGTGTTACTTATCATGACCCGTGAAGATTCCGGGGTAGAATAGGTCTTCAGCAACCCATGCTTGCCGTAATAGGCGACTAATGGGATTGGGTGGTCAGGCTCGCTGACTTGGTTGATGCATGTCATCGTATCCCAATTACGTGGATTGATGCTCAAGATATTAATCACTAGATTGTCTGGTCCAGACTCGATTATTTACAGACCGCCGTCATATAGCTGGAATATTGCTGAGTGCGGCTTAAAACAACAAACCAACCAACTTATTATGGTTTTGTATCACTGCTAGCTACAGCTTCATCGTGTATACCCTACGGTTGTTGCCTTTTATAGACTAGGGAGCTGCTCCCCACCTTCCAACCGTGGGATAAATGCATAGTGTGCGATAGGATAAGTTTACAAATTTGTCAATTTTACAATAAATTGTATGTTTATAATACCTATCCTATCTCACACGCTATATGCCAAACCGCCCATCCCCGCATCATGATTCCTCTAGGCTATTAAGTTGTAGAAAGAGAATGAGTTGGCTGGGGAAATCACGTGTTCAGTGCGTGTAGGTCGACTGGCATGAAAAGCGTGCATGACCCAGATTGTTGGAAGGTGACCATGGTGATACTTGGTGTGTTTGAGTGAATATGTTTTAGAAGCTGGAAACTTGTTTTTGGCATGTTTCCACTTAGGATCAAAAGAAGATTGAGAAATGCATAGTGTGAGATAGGATAAGTATTATAAATATACAATTTATTGTCATATTTTCAATATTGACTTGCAGCAAATAACTGTAATATTGCTGATGCGAAAATATTTATTCATTCATTCAATATTGACAAAATGCGATTATCCTTGTGTGTTTGTGTGATAAAATGTGTTACAGTATTATTGAGGCAGTATGCATTGTGTTATTAACCAGTTTCTTGCCCGACTAAGTTACTCACTGGGCTCCATGATAGAGATGAATATATGTATGTGAAGCTGTTACACACATGTCGCGTGCCATATCTTCATGTTTAATTGTGGGGTACGGACAGATGGGTAGCCTTGTTATTCAGGCACTCATTCGACAAGAACTTGTGTGCCATGTGTAAAGATGATCCTTGGCGTCAAGATTTGATTGGAGCACTGGTTACCCTAGTCCTCTAAGGTACCACAACTTTCTGGGCAGATTTGTGTCCCTTGAACATGGTGGAAACATTTGATTGTTTGTTTGAATTCTGGTTTGCCTCGTAATGTTTCTAGGTTTGTCAGCACAATCCAACTGCTTGTGGGTTTCACCAAAGTGGTAAACGACTGAGACCTGCATCCTGTGCATTGCTTCGGGAGAGCTACCTCCAACATTAAGCTGACACGCCATGATATAACAGGAATATTACTCAAAGCAGTGTTAAACCCAACTCTCCCACACATATCACGCATATCAAGCATTCATTCGACAAGAATCTATGCTCGTTTCCCCACATGGGTGCAGTGTGTAAAGCTGCTTCTTGGCGCCAAGATTTGATTCGGATATTGCGAAAAGCATTATAAAACTGTCACTCTGACTCACTCACCCACTTAACATCATGGTGTACTTGCTTAATTCTCACATCATTTTTCCTTTTCTTAGACTGAAGAAGATCCAGGAGAAGAAGAAGAAGTTGAAGATAGCTGCAGCTGAGCTTCAGGCACGGAGAAAGAAGGAGATCGGGCTGGAGAACCAGCGGGCTGCCGACCTGCTGGCCGATGACCATGATGAAGATCTGCTGTTCACCAACTAGCTGTCGGTGTAGTCACTGTGTTAATGTGAGACATGGCCGGGTAGTGATGAGTGCTACAAGTTTTAAGGAAATGGAATGGAAGATCAATGATTTAAGAATGTTATTGCAACCTTTTGTTACTAGTTTGTTTTGGTCTTTTACCGTATGTCATTTTAGTTTTATACAATTGGCGCAAATTGGAAATTCTAAATTGCTGCCAGTTCTAAAGCTAAATGTATTATGAAGTTAAAGGGCATTTTATGCTGCATTTAAATGTTCCATTTGACCGAAGTGTTGCTGGACAGTTTGAAATTTTAATTCAATACAAAATATATTTGGATAACATTCAAACCAGAGAAAATGAGTGAAAATTAAACTGCTACATATTTCTGAAATTATGACTTTTTCTGACGAAGGGAAAAAAAAATCAGGAAAATGATTGGAATTGGGATGAAACAGTGCTTAAGAGATGCAGGAATGCAAGAACTTGGAACTGTGACATATTTCATATTTCCCATTGCCTGGCGACGATATATTCCATCAGTTACAGAAACTGTGATAAAATGAACACATTATCTTTTTTTCTGACTAAAACATTGTTGAATAATATTCAAGTTAACTTGTCAAGAGTAACTTAGGGTTTACTTGTTTGTTTGTCTTTATTATCATGATTATGTTTCCAAAGTAAACAACGTAAACATATCCAAACTGCTCTAGTCATCAGACAACAGTAATTTGTGGCAACACCATCCCAGCTACAGCAGCTTGTCCTGTACTAAATAAACCCATTTTGCTGTAAGTTCATGGATAATCTCTTCAATGGTCTTAAAACAATCTCTGAAGTGAAACTGTTTCTTGTCCTACCTACATGAAGGAGTGAATGAATGCTTGTTACATGTCCATGATGGCAGTATGAGGTTAATGTTAGCATTGTAGCCAAAGTGTGAAAGACGGCACACGATGATATTTATGTAACCATGGTAACTGTTAATTTGTCTGTATGTATATACCAGAGTGGAATGATTCATGTCAACATGGCTGTGATGGTGTACATTTTGTTGATGTTGTACTCTGAATATAATTTGCATCATGTATTTGTAAGGTGTACAGTACAACCTTGTTATCTTGGAGCTCCATCTCTATATTTGAAGACTATCAGCCCTCTAATTGGCAACGGGGCGGTAGAGTAGCCTTGTGGTTAAAGCGTCATGCCAAAGACCTGGGTTCTATTTCCGACATGGGTATAATGTGTGAAGCCTATTACTGGTGTCCCCCCTCCCCCCATGATATTGCTGGAATATTGCTAAAAGCGGTGTAAAACCATACTCACTCGCTACTATTTGGCAACCAAATTCTACGTTTGGTGACCATGAATTATCCTTAATCGCCACTGTGTCTACCTCATGTCAGAACAAATTGATGACTACCAGGTTTTCTTGGGTGTACTATGCACCTTCCATTATTCAACAGAAACTAATTCCTGTTACACACTCGTTCATACACAGAGAAAACAACAAAAGTAGCAATCAGCTGTGTATATTTTTTGTTCAAGTGTCTACCAGTGAATCAATCCTGTAAAATAACTGAGAAGAACTTTAATGGAAAAAAGTTAATGCAAATTTGTGTTGAGGCAGAATGATTATTGACACTGTGGTCTAATATCTCCACTCCGCTTACCTTTAACTATAGATAGCTCTGGATGTATGTGATGGTCCACAGGACTCTAAGATAACAAGGCTTCACTGTCGACAGGTTTCAGATTGAATGACATGCAGCTTCACACCATTAGGTATTGAACATTATGGGTTCAATGTTATGTATAACCAGGGGTAGGTAGTAAGTTTTGGTTGAAGGTGTGTAGGTAAATATGGTGATAAAATGTCCTCAGTGATTCTTAATGGGATGGCCAGAGTATTTGCCAATACTTGAAGCCTGCTCGCCAAATCAGATGAACCACTGACTAATTATCATGTCACTCCTGTTTTTCTGTGGGTATATTTTGAGAGGGAAATGTAAATGAGGAATTGGAAAGTGAACACATGAACGTCTCTGTGTTACATATTTGCACCGCCAAAATGTGTCATATGTGTGTGTGTGTTGGTAAAACAGATATTATAAATATAATGAAAGAGAAAGGCAGTCAATTGTCCATAGTATATGTATATGGTTCTCAAGATATCTTCATTATGAAATCTCTTCATTTGTCAATCTCAGTGACATTGTGTAAAGTATAATGTAACTATCATTTGCTCAGTTAGCAATCTATTGGTATGGTATCGAATGACTGAATTGTCAATGGTGTAGTTGTACATTAAGAGATCTGTTAAGTATTTGTTATTCTACAATATTGTTTCATCCTGTGAATGTGATGTGCTTCTCTGTGTCCTGGCAACAGGCCATCTCAGGAGCTAGTGATGCTAGTTATAAAGGCATGGACTTCATAGGGTACGTTGTCAGCATGATTCAAGCCCGATGATCAACCATTAATAAATCAACTATGGTACAAAAAGGTTTTGTTGTCTTTTAAGGATTTAATGCTGTTTATTTAATTATATTGTTTGTTTGTTGTTTAACACCACACTAATTCACACTAATTCAGCTATATGACAGTAGTCTGTAAATAATGGAATCTGGATCAGACAATCCAGTGATTGATGCCTTGAGCATCGATCTTCTCAATTAGGATACAATGACATGCATGGGAAAAGCCAACATAGGTTGCTTGGGACCTATATTCCTACCCGCAATCCCCATGGCAAAAGCCAACATAGGTTGCTGGTGACCTATATTCCTACCCAGAACCCCCATGGCAAAAGCCAACATAGGTTGCTGCTGACCTATATTCCTACCCGGAATCCCCATGGCAAAAGCCAACATAGGTTGCTGGTGACCTATATTCCTACCCAGAACCCCCATGGCAAAAGCCAACATAGGTTGCTGGTGACCTATATTCCTACCCAGAACCCCCATGGCAAAAGCCAACATAGGTTGCTGCTGACCTATATTCCTACCCGGAATCCCAATGGCAAGAGCCAACATAGGTTGCTTGGGACCTATATTCCTACCCAGAATCCCCATGGCAAAAGCACCGCCTCCGTTGTTTCTAGGGGTAGAGCGTCCGCCCGGAGAGAGGAAGGTCCGGGGTTTGATCCCCGGCCGCATCATACCAAAAGACGTTAAAAGATGGTACTTGTTACCCTGTCTGGCGCTCGACATTAAGGGGCTAAAACAAGCACTGGTCTGCTCGGAGTCAGTATACTGTGTCTGAGTGGGATATTCATGTTAAACTGCGGCATGGTATCTCCGTGAGCTAGCACTATAAATCGGCATCAGTCCGGACTAGTACAAGCAGCCACACAAACACACACACGTACATGCACGTCGCTATATAAGTGCAATAATCTTGGACGCGACGTTAAACCCCATTTCACCTCACCTTACCATGGCAAAAGCCAACATGGGTTGCTGGGGAGCTATATTCCTACCCAGAATCCCCATGGCAAAAGCCAACATAGGTTGCAGGGGACCTATATTCTTACTCAAAATACCCATGGGGAGATAACATAGGTTGCTTGGGACCTACAGTCCTACCCGGGATCCTCATAGGTCCCTGCTTGTAAGCGCCGACCGGCCAGGAGTAGGTGGTTACAAGAAGAAAAAAGAAATGTTGTTTTCATTTTTTACACTTTAGACTACCTAATTCAAGATAAATAGTCTTTTATGCTCAAGTCATTTACTTTACAGGTTTAGTGTTGAGTAAATGCATTCCTAAACGTTCATTTTTCATTAGATCTCTAGGTTTAGGATCATGTTATATACATGAAATATACTGGAATTTCATTCCTCCATGACGGCCATATTGGATTTGGCGGCCATATTGGATTGTTTCGAGTGACCCCATATCTGAAAATATTTGGAATGTCATTACCTACAACTGTGCCAAGTTTCATGCTTTTATTATGAAGTGCATAATTGACCCTATATCTGTCTTGAAACGGCGGAACTACAAGGGGTAGCTGACTGCTTGAACTGCTCACAAATGCCATCTGAAGTTTACTGAGAAGGCATTTAGGCAAGAAGTACGCACCCCTATGGGCACCGATTGTGCTCCCCTTCTTGCGGATCTGTTTTTTTATGCATATCGGAATCGCTTTTCGGATTGGCAAAGTCAAAACAAGGTAATTTGGCCAAGAAGTTTAACTTAAGCTTCAGGTATATCGATGATCTGATATCGTTCAATAACAATCAAATAGCCAATTCCCTTCCACTGATTTACCCACCTGAACTAGAAATAAAGGAGGTCAGCGAGACCGCCTCATCTGTTTCATATTTAGATTCAGAGTGACTAAAGACTCTCCATAAGACTGTTTGACAAGAGGGATCATGACTTCAACTTTCTGATAGTCAACTTTTCCTTCATGTCGAGCAGTATTCCAGCAGCTCCAGCCTTGGTGCGTACATTTCACAACTTTTGAGATACAATCGATAATGCTCTTTCTACAAAGATTTCAAAAAGCGTCATACGACTCTTGCTCAGAACTTGTTTGATCAAGGTTACAACATTCAAGGTCTCAGTAAAACTTTGAAGGCAAACAATTGCCTTGCCTTTGCATGTGTTTGTGATGGGTGCCACTCTGATCTCATTACTATTTGACAGTGATTCATAAACACATGCTCATAATATAGTCGGAATTGTACAATCCACTCTGCTTTATGCAGAGATTTGTATTGGATATGAAAAGGGTTTTGTAGCTTTATTCTATGCTGTTTTCTCCTATATTTGGGGTGGGGCCTAAGATATGAGTTTCAGATCTTGTACCTAATATGGAATGTATTGCCCATGGCAGGTCGAATCATGGCCAAATTTCATAATATGGCCAAAGAAACCTGTATGTTAGCCCCTACTCCAAACTACAGATGTGACAAACGCCAATATGTGTTTGGAAAAGATACCCAAATAATGGCAATTCATGTTTTGTATAATATGGTTGCCATGACATTGGAATTCTGTGAGGAGTTTTTTTTGAAACACCATTTAGATAAAATCATTTCCCTTTCACAAGCCTGATGACGACCTCCGTGTTCTAGTGGTAGGTCGTCCGCCAGAAGAGCGGGAAGTCGGGGGTTCCATCCCTGTCATACCAAAATGGTATTTGTTGTTACCCTGCCTGGCGCTCGGTATTAAATGGACAACAATGGCATTCACAAAACGGCTGGTGAGCTAAAATTGAAGTTTAGGTTAATAATGGTCGGTGATATTGATTTGGAGCACGTGTTGTATTATTAAGCCAGAGATTAAGAACTAGGCATATGTAATTATTAAACACAATATTGATATAAAAATATCAATAGTAATGATGACATCAGAGAAGATCATTTTATTTATGTGATGATAATTGACCAGATTTCAAAACATTTTATACTTATGAAGCCTCGAAGGTTAAACTTTTACCCCACTGTGTTGATGTATGTGATCAAAAGACACCGGGGGAAAATTGTCATCGTCCAAAGATTGTACTAACAACAAACATCAGCTGGGTTCAGCGTTCCGTGTAAACGAATACTTTGCTTTGTCTGGTACACGTTCAATTATCAACTAACAGTTATGTCAGCTAATTGTCCTGCAGTGACCGTACTTATTAATTAACAATCTTTCTATATGGTCATGTGTGACTTGAGAAGATCATACACACGTTTTCGTCGCAATTCTTTCGCTATGTCGGCCGCTGTCTTCCCTTCCCTGTTTCTGGCGTTGATATCCACCTTGCCTTGTGAGAGCACAAACTTGACGATCTTCTTGCCTTTTCCTTCACAGGCCAGATGAAGGATGGTGTTACCGTTATCATCAACGAGTGACATATCAGCTCCTTTGCTCACAAGATATTCCACCATATCTATATTATCTCTTCGCAGTACTGCGAACATCAATGGTGTTCTCCCGTGCTTTCCTCTGCTGTTGACGTCCACATCGTATTCAGTAAAGATTTGTTTCACCCGAGCCACAGTTTTCTTACTACATGCGCTAAGGAAGATATAGGCTACTCCTCTGTGATTACCTCGAGAGGGTGTCTGTGTCGCTGCAACAAAACGTATATATACACACATATGCACACATGTTGCACTGACCACCCCCCCCCCCCACCCCCCCCCCCCCCCCAAAAAAAAAAAAACCCAACAAAAAAACAACTGCTCGGTACTCGTGTTTTTCCATTTCTGTGGACCCCCACCACGTTCAACTGGCTGTCACTCACACAAACGGACTCAACAGACCAAATCCAATCGCAATGAACTACACAAACAATGTACTACATTGACTAGTTTCCTTTCCCTAGTTGAAGTTAGTCAGACTGAAAACCTTTTCACCAGCCCTCCTATGTAAAATAAACATTTTCATTGTTTGTTTGTTTAACGCTGCACACAGCAATTATCCAGCTATATGACGGCGGTCTGTAAATAATCGAGTCTGGACAAGACAATCCAGTGATTGATATCATGAGCATTGATCCACGCAACTGGGATAAGATGACATACATCAACTAAGTCAGCGAGCCTGACCATCCGATCCTTTTAGCCACCTCTAGAAGGATCCATACAAAAACACCGCTGTTACATGTCGGTAGGCTATTGCCATCCGATGACGAGAACCTTGTCTACAGATTTCAGACTTCTCAGGAACACATCCTATTGACACACAGATACCAGCACCAGGTACGATACTTAGTAAGAACACTTATTGTGATTGACTGATCCTAGCGCCAGGTACGATACTTAATAAGAACACTTAATAGTGACTGACTGATCACAGCACCAGATAAAATACTTAATCAGAACACTGTATAGTGACTGACTAATCACAGCACCAGGTAAAATACTTAATAAGAACACTGTATAGTGACTGACTAATCACAGCACCAGGTACAATGCCTTATTAGTACCCTTAAAAGTGACTGATTGATCACAGCACCAGGTAAATACTTAATAAGAACACTTTATAGTGACTGACTGATCACATACCAGGTACGATACTTAATAAGAACACTGTATTGTGACTGACTAATCACAGCACCAGGTAAAATACTTAATAAAAACACTGTATAGTGACTGACGGATCACATACCAGGCAAAATCCTTAATAAAAACACTTCATAGTGACTGACTGATCACAGCACCAGGTAAAATACTTAATTAAAACACTTAATAGTAACTGACTGTCACAGTACCAGGTACGATACTTAATAAAAACATTTAATAGTGACTGACTGATCACATCACCAGGTAAAATACTTAACAAAAACACTTCATAGTGACTGAAGGATCACATACCAGGTAAAATACTTAATAAAAACACTTCATAGTGACTGACGGATCACATACCAGGTAAAATACTTAATAAAAACACTTAATAGTGACTGACGGATCACATACCAGGTAAAATACTTAATAAAAACACTTAATAGTGACTGACTGATCACATACCAGGTAAAATACTTAATAAAAACACTT